CAAAGGAGCTGATGGAGTGGGAAGTGGGGGGAGGGAGGGGGGGGGGGTTGTACGGAAGACGGAACATTTTGTAGTCTACAAATGTCGTGATACAATGAGCAGGCCAATGAAATATAAGGAACTTTCGGTGTGCAGGAAAAGCTTGCCACCTGCCTGATGAAAAGCTATGAAGTATGCTTTCGTTGGTTGCTGTTATGGGGATCCTCGTTGGTTGCTGTTATGAGGATCCGAGAATGTTTCTCCTGTTTGCAGTCAGGAACCGCAATGCTGGAGCGAGGGCATGCACAAGATATGAGCCTGGACTAAACGCCAGTTTGACTGGTACCTCCTTACTTTACCCTGACTTCGAAACAACATTATGGTAAACAGTTCTCCTCGGTCCGCGAAAAAGTTTTCCCTTTGATAAAGCGGCTTTACCGTTGGGTGGTAGCCACCATCTGGGCGGTGAAAATCTGAGGTGCTTCAAAACTTTCGGAACTTGAAAAAGAATTATTCGTGAAGTATGGAAGTATTTTTTCGATTTATGGTAGTTGAAAAAGCGGCAACCTTCCTCTGAACTTGATTTTCGAAAACCGCCTCGAAGACGTTTGTTAAACTCTGGCAAGTATCTAGGAAGTATGTGAATAGCGCCGTAAGAGCGATACTCTGGCTTCGAATTTCACATTTCCACGGTAGTGCTGCAATGAAGATGTTTGTCGAGCATACATCCACTCGAATAAGAGCAGTTTTTTGGAACACATAACTCTCAGATATTTCAGGTTTGTAAACAACATTGCAAAAAAGCATATTTTAAAAAAAGCGACGGTCGATGACTTAGGGGTACACTTCTAGTCTATTCTGCACAGGAATGACGCAGTACTACCGCAAACATATTTCTCGCTCTTCACAAATCTTTTTTACCCCTACTCGTCATGGAATATGGGAGAACAGAGAAAGCACAAACGAATAGAAGCGTGGTAGGGAAGGGGAGGGGGGCTCACTCTCATTGATTATTACTTGGCAGAAACAAGCACATCATCAGCTAGTCTCTTAGTTCAGGGTGGGAGATGTTTGGAAGCGCATACCGTGAAACGCGTCAGAGTAAGCATAAACACATATCCAGAGAACCTAAAAGAACCTTGCAGATGACTTCGACCAATCACTCCAGAACTAGCTGTGCTCGCTTGAATGTACTAATGGAGCTAGTGGCAAATAACGACATCGAGGGAGTAGTGGAGGACGTTCCGCGCCCTTTTTTTTCGGCACTGTGATCCTTTGTGGCTTGACGTACGCCTCAAAGACCTTGACTCTAGGAAAGCACGAAAGCACGATGAGCATGCAGTCAGCGTCATTCAACGCTCTGTGGAAAGGATAGTACTCGAAGTTCCTCGACACATGAGAGTGAGGGGGTAGGGCACCGGATTTGCGACTCCTTTTTGATTTGTCGCGACTTGAAGAGGATCTATTGCCCACCCTGAGGAATCAAAGTGCAAAGGGGCCGGCAGATTCGATTTTATGATCTGTAACTGAACTTGAGCTGTGTAGGATACTCCTCTCAATAGTTGTTGTTGATGGGTTCATGTGAATCATTCTCGTACAGCAATGAATCATTCCTATCCCTACTCTTATCTGTATCCTCTTTCTTCCGTGCTCACTACAACTGGTGCATCGAACCAAACAAAGATTCTGAGCCAACTGAAAAGTTCATTTACCTACGAAGAGCAGAACCTCAGTTTGAATGAAGTAACTTTGACATCGAGGCATAGGTATGCAATGTCATGACTGTTAGCTAACTGTCAATGAATCCTTTATCCAATTACTTCAGAGCGTAGCCAGTAACCTTGGCTGCATTCGTAAACTATTTAGTTGGAGCCTCTTGTCAGCTCCGTTTGTACTCACTCCTGTTTTACGCTGTTCCGAGCGTTATCGGTTTTCAATAACCAAATCTAGAATATTCCCGAAGGCCGACTCAAGGAGTTGATAAGAGTCATCATCTATTCTACTACTTCAGCGACGTCTATAACGAAATTTAGACTTACCTAAACAAGCATCTGTAAATATGAAGTCAGGTTTGAGACGACTGGTGTATATGGCAAATCAACAGAGCAGAGGTGAGCTGAACTTAGCTTCACCCTTGAGGGTAATGTTACAGCAGGTTTGGCGGTCCAAGGGTAAAGTTTTCTGAATCGCTTTCAGAATAGTCATGACACCAGAAAAGCCGTGGCGGTAAAGAATGTGTTAGCAAGTAATATGAAGGAGACCTCAATGGGAAGGAGCGTTTTCAAGGTGAGCACCCCCTGTTATAAGTCTTAATCCTAAACAACTCCGTCTGAGGGGTGCGTCCACGCATTCGACTTTCATTCAGAGTCGTAGTGGCGTATTGAATGCGCACGTGGCCTGAACAATGACTTACGGTGGCCAACCGATGTCCGAGCCAGGCGCTGGTGCCCTGAAAATGCTCCACCTTGTCGAGCTTGATCTCGACAAGCCATCGATTCTGGGGACACTAAAGATCCAGGGGCAAGAGCACATCTACGGTTTGTAAGGAATTCTTCATATAAGCGTTATAAAGTCTACAATTGTGTAACTGTATGCTGAGAGCTGAGTGAAACTAAGATGGAAATCTCTCAGTTTAAGTAAGTTTACTGTTAAAATAATCATGGTGTAATGGACACAAGTATAAATAACAGATCGAAGACGAGATGAAGATCATCAGTCAAGCAGAATTAGCGATTTTAACGTCCTCCAGCCAGTGCTCCCAACAAAGCTCCAACCACAGCTCCTCTTACAGCTGCTTTGGTTGGACCTGAGAAAAGTTAGCACGAATTTGTAATAATGGAAGACATTAAAGCAACAACTCACCATGAGGATCATAAGGGAAAAAGTATTGTCCCGGTCGAGGATATGGGAGAGGGTAAAGTCGTGGTCTTGTATAAGGAGGTGGTATCGCAGGATGATAAAGGGGATCCATGTAATGCGGATCTCCGTAGAATTGACAGAAAACTGGAGATGGCGCCAAGAAAATCAACAAAGCAGTAATGAAAACAGGTGTTCGCAGCATCTGAAAAGATTCTGAGTCGTTGTCATCGTATCGAAAGAAAGAAATGTGGTCTGCCGATTGAAATAGCGATGAAAATGAGAAACAACGAAGAGCTTCAACAAAAAAATTATTTTGTTGGTTGGCGCAGTAATCTACAAAATGTGTTGAAGTTATGGTTTGACCAGACATCGCCAGGTGTTTTTTGTTGGTTGGCGCAGTAATCTACAAAATGTGTTGAAGTTATGGTTTGACCAGACATCGCCAGGTGTTTCTCAGTAAATCCCGAATTTCTTGAAATACGACGAAGGACAGAAGCAAGCGCTTTTCACATGAAGTCAGGTTAAATTCTTTGGATGCTAATCATGAGGGGTGCGCCCCTGCATTCGACTTGCATTCAGGATCGTAGCGGCTTTTTGAAACGTATGGGGCTTATACATAGACAAACAGTGGCCAGACAATGTAGAAGGCAGTGCTTTTATCTTCTCAAAGTCTGGTGGTATCAATCAACCGACCCAGGAAGTAAGGAGGCCTTCTCTTGCCAGGGCAGATATCAAACCAGGATTCGAATCCGTGGTCGTGCGTCTGCGATGATGTTCCACTTGCTACTACACCACCGCCAACCGCTTTTTCACATGGTGAAGGTATTTTTTTTCAATTATATAAAACCTTGTGTTCATCTCATATTGTCAGTCGCCATCTGACAAAAGCAAAGGTGTCTCGAATTCAATCTCCTAACAAGGAAAGTTGATTGAAAAGCATGAAAACCTCCGAGTTGAATTGTTTACGTTGGTGACTAATTGCAAGGAGAGTTCTTCCTGGTCATTTTTCGTTTGGAAACCTGAGTAGAATTGAATGCCTGGATGCGATTCATCTTTCTGGAAGGTTTGCTTGAATGTCATAAAATGACATCATTGTTCGAACAGTTAGCTATTGTTAATTTTTGTATGTTAATGAGGAGGATACCATTTAGATTCGCATCTCTTCAGGAAATATTCTGTTTACGCACCATATTTTGCTTTTATAAAGATAGATTTGTTTTTGGGTGCAGCTCGAGCAAGGGACAGGCGACCACTTTACAGAACCAAATCGAAAATGGATTCGGGTTCGGATCAGTGTTGAACTTGACATTTCAAAGGCAGGCATGAAACAAACAATAAAGTGGGTAATCCTTGATTAACCACAATGATAAATGATAAAAATGCTCAGCAAAGGACCCTTCGATTTTCTTCACAGAGGACTTTTGATAGATACTAATTGTAAGCTTGGCTTTGCTGGAGATGCAGTGCTGTAGATGACAAGAGGGCTTGTGCTGCATGCAGAACGTATGCAGCTTTTCAAGTTGGTAAATTACCTAAAGTCGAAGTATATCGGAGTACACTGAGTAGTCTGGTCAGTTGTTGTGAAAAGAAACCAGATCATCTTGGATAAAGGAATGGAAGTTTCTCCACAAGAAGAAAGCTTTAGGAGGAATTGGAATGGCTTATTAGAGGGAAAGAAGTCGACAAAACCTCTTACGATATCGCTGCGGAAATTTCTATCAAAGTCCTGCCCACTGAAATTTGCATTCATCTTCAGCGGATACACGATTTTCTGTCCCATCGTTCAAAACAACAAAATTCTCCTGGTGAAGATGAAGTTACCAGTGTTCCACACATACACGACAGAATTCATTCAACGATCATTAAAAAGATAAGTTTTGAAGAAATTTTTTTGAAGTGAGATACTCCGACGGACGATCGAAACGACTGTGAGAGAAAACGCAGACCTGTGCGGTTTGCTAGATTATGCGTCGTGATTTGATAAAATATCACTCTCAGATCAATTCTGAGAAACGGGCTCAAATCCAGTCGCTCTGATTAAATGGGATACAATGGACAGACGGGCTATCACGCTAATGTCACCTTCAGATCAGCGACGAATAAGCTTTGGTACCGCAAATTTCTAACGCATTTATCATTCCGATCGATGGGGAATAATTAAGAATTACTTAATGCTTGCCATCAGCTGTGGTTGGGTGACGTTTGAAAAATATAAGTGGAACTATTAAATTGCGTCATAGGTAACTACAAGTCTCGACTCCTCATTCAGGACTTCATAAATTTTTTGTTCCAAGTTTATAGAACACATACAAGTTTTATCACAGCTGTTTAAACTGCCCGCTATTCAGTAGATGGTGGAGAGCATTCCCCATAAATTTAGGTTGTCTCAATCATAACATTGCTGGAGGTGTGTTTTGAGTTTAGGAGCATTATTGGTTTTTTTCACTTTCAGAGGTGAGAACTGATGACAACTTCTTTCCAAAGGCGAAGAAGTCACGCTGTATTGAATAGACTTCTTGAATCTCGATTATATCACTACGTGGTTCAAATAGCGTCACTTCATAAAAGTCCACCATATTTTTCGTTTACTTTCCAAGTCAGATGAAGTGGGCCTTGGGTCAGCATAATCAATGTTCGGTATCAATCTGCCACGCAGCGTGGCGGCGTTTTCCCGTGCTCCTACGACTCCAGAAAATCGAAGTTCAGCGAGGTTACCGATGCTCCCCCATGGGCTGCTCCCGTTCTGAGACGCCAGGTATGATAGGTTTTTGAACTGCTAGTGTCTTTGCAGGAGTCACAAAACGATATTTTTAGGAAAATCATATTCCCTGAAAAGCGTGTGACCGAGCTGATGTTCCTAGGAAATGACGCTCCTGGGAATGAACTTCACAGTGCCCGTGTGAGATTCAATTCTGGCTCGTGCTGAAAAGCAATGTAGGATAGTCTGTGTTGGAAAAGATGAGCTTAAGGACGATGTTCTTCTGATGCGTTGAATAGGGAAGCTCTTGACGAGGTAATCAATTCATCTTGTGATAATGATTACTTGGTGAGTTACTTGGCGATTGTGAAGCATTTCACCGCGAGAATTATATGAATTCCTCTACCGCCTCAGGCGCTTCATGATCAGCTCCTTGACTTTATGAAAAAAGGGCGGTTCTTCATTGTCAAAAAAACTTTATCCATTCTCTCCTCCATTCTCCCAAAAAAAAATCCCTCCGTGCTCATCAGTAGTGTAAGAGAGAACAAAAGAGTATAATCAAGGTTATATGTAACAAATTATAATTTGAAGGAATGCACAGGGAATGAAACGAACTCTAAAAAAACTTCGAATATGTTTACCGTGCACATCTGCTCTGATTCCTTAATTGTTCTCTGACTATTGTATTACTTATTTTTTATCAAGGCTAACTTCTTGTTGAATCACTAAAATTATGCGATTCAGCGGCAATTTCTGGATACCTGTGCCCTGGTAATTTCCCGGAAAAGTTTCAGCTGGATCAGCAATATGACTTTGCATCGTGGTTGTAAGTCATCGTGATCGTGAGTTCTTGATCTTACTATTATAGCAGTCGTGACTCAAGCGACTCGTTGCCGTTTTTGGTAAGTGCTCCCGCATTAAGCTTCCATCCAGGCAAAATTATTTCACCGTTACGAATGCATAAGTGTAATATGGCTTGCGGTGACCAGCCGCTATACAATCAGTGCCCGATCCCAGAGAGATGGAAGGACTGGTCGACCTGGCAGGGTATGGATATATGTATATCCGGTGTTCGATTGGCAGGCTACGCGCGTGTTGGAGTGCATTGCCTAGCACCTCCGCCTAGCGACTTTGGTACATTCACATATATGTATCTCTATTTACTCATATGTAGACGTTACTGTAGGATAGGTAAGCGTATAATCATGGCTTGCTCTCTGATTATCAGAGGGGTGCGTTCCGTGGTCTGACTGGTTACGCGATAGTTCTGTTTCTTCAAAATTGGTTACGTCATGCGCTTGCACTTCTGCATCAGAATTCGGCGAAACTGTGTTGCCCGGCGAGAATAAGACTGATCGTTTCGATCAAACATCTTCATCAATGAACATATTACTTTGTCTCACAACTTAGCGAGAGTGTCGAAAAAATTCTAATGATGAATCTATAAAATTCTTGTACACACACTCAAAAACAATCATTGTGATTCATTATCCGAACATTGCTCCTTCCATGGCACCTTCAACTGCACCCAAGATGGCTCCATCGATTGCGTCCATCATCATAACTGCAAATATTATGAATTATTCACAATGAAAAATGGATAAATTCTTTGGAGGTTGATCAATCTTGTCTGAGGGATGCGACTTAGACTTCAATTCAAAACCGAAGTGTATACATATACAATGACTTGCGGTGGCCAGCCGATATACAGCTCAGCGCTTTTATCCTCCCAGACGATTCTGGTATCAATTAAACGATTCCGGAGAGATGGAAGGTTTGGTGAGCAACTGAATTTGTTGTCAACTTTGGAAGTTGAACTCTATTCAACTTCTTTGCAGTAGCATGGTTCCATGGTACAAACTACCATAAACGAACGGAAGTGGTGTATTGGCTAGTCGACTGCGGGGGCCCATCCCGAAAATGGGGAGGGGGGGGGNGGGGGGGGGGTATCTTTGAAAAAAGGTTACTCTTTCTTGCCATGCGAACTTATATCAAGCTCAACTGTGTGGAGTTTACTTCCATAGCACATTGCGGGCGATCAGTGAATTAGTATATAGCAGGGTCACAATGGTTCCTGTATCTCGTTTTCCAGGTTTATACTGTAAAAGCACGGTATCATAACAAAAATGTTAAGTCAACCCAGTGGTTTTAATTGCCCGATTTTTGATAGCACGAAAATACCCACTTTCAAAATATTTTTGTTATAGTTAGCCCACCGTCCTTGGAGTCAATATTCCAGAAATACCTCACTGGCACGGTTATAGTAAATAACTATCAATACGTCATTCAGATAGAACCTATGATATCAGTTTGCCAAAGTAGACTTGGGATTGCAGTAGGGTCATGACCAAGTGTTCCATTGGAAAATATCTGTTGTAGAAACTTATGGACAACGTCAAAACTTCTCTATTCAAGTTGAACGCTGGAAAATAAAAGAAAAGCAAATCGCGATTCCCGGCAAACCTTTCCCAGAGTGCCGAGCCGTGACAAGGTTGAAGAAAGGTGGGATGAAAAGGAATGAAAAAAGCCCACCTCACTCACTCCCCACTACGTTTGAATATGGGAAAACATATAGATTTAACCGGTTGTTTAGTTCGCAAGAGACAGCCTGTTGTGTGGATCAACGCAGAAATGGAAATCACCTTCCGGATTCATTCCACGACCGAAGCCACCTCCGAAACCACGACCTGGATAGCCTCCATAACCAGGACCCCAACCGAACTGAGCTAAGGATAGCGTTACCAGCTGGACAATAACAAATAAGAAGACTAGAACTTGATTCATTCCTGAAAAATGAAGCACTTATGCGAACCGAAATTAAATGTTTAAGCGACTGATCGGGTTTTTCGTGTATAGAATTGCGTCTGACTTCGAGGATCTGATTCGATTTCGGCATTGACATTGTAAAGTAGGATACAAGTGCAATCATTTGGTGATTGACCACCAAAACGTTAACAACGGATAATGAATAGCCAGCGCTACAAACGTTTGAGAACAGTCTAAGAAGTAGTCAGTCGTTTAGTATCCGTTTACCTTTATTTATTTATGGATATTGATATTATTTCCGAATACAAAATGACATCTCCACCCCTCCGAGGTGTGCTGGTTCTTTGTGCTTGCTGGGGTGAAAAATATGGTGATTGGCAGGTTCCTTTCTTTTTTTCATTTCTTTTTCTTGCTCTCATATTCAAACGGGTTCCGTTGCTTACGTAAGTACCGCCAACGTGTCATAGGCGACCTCCAGCGGGAATAACGCTCAGAGGCACGGTTGAGGATAAGATTGAATTCTGTTGTTTTTAACTAAGACAAGATCATGACTCGGTATGCCACATAAATGGGTCGAAAACTAGCCTGGGTAGGGTGCAGTTAGGCTTAAGGACCGAGGTGGCCGAGGTCCTCACATAAAGGTGGACGTGTTTTGATTGTGTTGCAGAGGTTGCACCATTGAATGGCGCACATATGTTGTGAACAGAAACAAATAGTCGTGACCCACGGCGATTGTGGGAGCCGGTTTTGAGCATTTTTGTTTTGATTAGCCAGCTCTGTCAAGCAATTGATGCTAATGAAACCTCGCTCGAATACTCTTTGATCATGTATTGTCTCTGGTAGCCTCTCACAATTTCACGTCTTCACTACATCTCATAAGCTTCACATTTCACGAACTGTGCGAATTTTCGAGCTACTTCCGCCACCGAAGCACTATTCTCCACCAACAGTTCCGCTTTTCAACTTTAAAAGCTCACCTCGAAAGTACCATGAACCGTAGACAACGTTCTTCAGTTGTGATATGGTCTAGCGAGATTGCGAAGAAGGAAGGGTGCGTATGAGAGAAAAATCGAAGCTCAAGTTCGGAGCCCCGTCGATCTCTCATACTCTACTCTGGTTATCATTCTCTTCAAAACTTTTCTTGCAGCTGAAGTACCCATGGTGATTGGATTATCTTGTCTGCATCACCGGTTTCGACTTTTTTTTTATGATGGATTTACCGAATTTTCTTTCAAGTTTCTATTCTAAGATCGTAGCGGATATCACCTGTGTGATGACAAGCTGGACAAGATTAATTAAATAGAGTTGAAAAATAGGCTCACGATGAGAACGATCCCTAATACTTTCTTATCTTCGCAGCCCCAACGCAGAGGGGTTCTCTTCCATATCAACGGAAAGCAACAGAAGATGTAGAGCTGTTGTTGGTGTCGGAAAATGTAGAGCTTAAAGGGGAAAACAATTAACGAAGGAGTCGAGTAGAGCGATTGTGAAGATGTGATAGGATCGGAGCAAGGACATCAGGAAGACAGATGACAGCGAACACCCCCTAAGTGGAACCTATTGACATGAACAAGTTTCAATGACAATTCGCCAAATCGAGCCAATATCCCACCCTTTTACTGCGTTTTCTTTCAAAAAAGTAACCATCCGTTGATTAATGACCATTTACTAAAAACCATCGAACCTAATCACGTTTGTTTTTGGGTGTGACTTCGTTCGTTATCAAGGAAAACGTCCAGTCTTTTATAAAAATAACTCAACGTTCACAGAAATCTCGACTGCTTTTCAAACTTTCAATTAAAACAGCATGGCAAACAGTGCACTTATGGATTCCGGAGGATCTAATAGAGTTGTGCCTCAAGACGTCACTTTCGTTTCCCTAAAAAACCAAGTATAGGCCTTTTGTCGATCTGATTACTTGGGTAGCTTTTGTGTAAATGTATGGTGCTTGTATAGGCCATTTCATGAATGATGCTTGCTGTAGCCGATAATTTCTTCCGACCTTTTCTTTTCCTGGCTGATAAACGGTTGAATGTGCATAACGTGTCTCCAATCACTTGTCAATATTCGATATATTATGTATAGAGACGGCATGGTTCCCCCGGTGGTGGTAGAATGTTAATACTCCTGAGAAGGGGG